CTTTCAGTATATGTCTTGATAAATGAAGATCCACACGGAGGGAATAAAACACGCCTGGCACCAAATTGACATCAATTTTTTCAATAACATACGTTGTCAAGTACATACATATATACAACAACACCATGATATGTTGACCACGCAACGTTGTCAACATTGCAACAATTCGTTATCGCAATCTTAATTTTATGTACATCCATTCTCTAAAAGTTAACAAACGTGGTAAGCTCAAAATCCGTTCTTAATAGACAACGGATGTGCATAAAATTTAGATTACGACAACCTTGACAACGTTGCGTGGTCAACATTACATGTTGTTGTTTATATACTCTGTATAGGGTTGTATAACAAAGTTAGGCAACAAGGAGTGAGAGTGAATTTCACATGCCTCACTAGTTTTTCATTATACGGAACTCAGAAGACTAGATCAAGCGTCACTTAGAATCATCAATGTATACTCTCCCTCTCCCATTCCCAGTAAGGAATGTGAACGCTGAACGGCGATATTTATAGAAAATATCGGCATTGTTCGATCAGATTTGCCTAGTTAAACACCACATACTTTTACTATTGATCAATAAAACTTGCATTCATTGTTTCAAGGTAACCTGAATAATCAGATCGTGTTAACCTAAAAAGTCATTGATATTTCAATAGTTTTCCATCGATCTAACAATTTTGCATCCATTAGAATAAGCCAAACTTGTAGTAATATTAACTAGTTTAGAATGGTACTAATGGGTACTCGAAATATTAATTTTATCTTTTATATCTATCTGTCATAGATATAAGCAGTATCTATATGTCTGTCTATATAAAAAGACTGCAGGTTGTTATTTGTACTGATGATAATGTTTTTGTTGTTATTGTTAAATATATATATGTTCTTTTAAGCAGACATCCATTACAAAAGTAAACTTATTTATAAATGTTGTTTGTTTTAACAACCGCCATTATACGCCATAATTGAACAAACAAATCTTTATATATACACGCACATGCAGACATACTCTCGCGTAAATAAATTTACACACGCAAATAGATAAGGCAAAAAAAGTTTTAAAATACACGTCAACAAAACTGTACTCAACGTATGGATAATGGCAGACAAGTCACTACCCAGTGAGATAAATGGCAAAAGATTCACATATTAGATCATCTAAAACCTCTTCCTGCGAGGTCCCCAAGCATATCCTTAAGGTTTTGCTTCATATGACAAGAGTCAATGGGGAACAAATTCCAAGTTTTGGGGTGAGCTTATCAGGATTTTATAAAGTCTTCTCTATTACATAATTCTACCTACTGGGTTCTAATAATGTAGCTACTACTACTATTTTAATATAGATAAAACACATTTGTACTTATATGCTTTTACATATGTATGGGTAATTGCATAAACTTATTCTTGTAATGATGTGTTTATTGGCAAGCTGTGTCGGTCAATAAATGTTCAATATTAAATGAAGCATTGATGTTAATTTACTGATTAATTACCGCAATGTTTACAAAACGAAAGGGTAAAACGTGCAAGCAAATGAGAGAAAACGCGAATGAGTAGGTGGTTATTGTTAAATGAGTGTATGAGAGACACTTGATGAGGTGTATTTGTGTCTGTGATTTTGAATATGCCTGTGTGTTTGTGTGCAGTGTTAAGTGGAAATGATTTAAAAACAACAGCATCCACTATACTATAATGGCAAAATTGAGTGCAATGGTTTAGGTGTAATTAAAATAGCTGATTATTTGCCTACTTTTAGGCTATAATACAGACAAATTGAGTACACTCAACTAAACTAATTAGTTGTTAAAGCAACAGAAGGCCTATATGTAAATTTGAAATAAAGGAATGGAAAATATTTGTTAGGGGATTGTAAAAACAAAGATTTTTAGCAATAATTTAATTACATTTCTAATAAGTAACATAAATATTAATCCAGAGCCTATTTAATAATCTATTAATTACCTTGAATAAAACTCTTACCAAGACCTTTTTAAACTTCTAATAAGCTTCTTTCACTTATTAAACAATAATTAAAAGATTTTTTTTTATTTCTTTAACAAAATGACATTCTTAAACCTTTGATTCCCTGGTATTAACAACTTGTTTTTAAAAAACAGCCTTAAAACTTCCCAAAGAAAGGAGCAAAAAAACTTTACTTGTTAACAAATTAACTACACAACAAAACAATTTAGTTGCCACAAGCTACCGTTGTAGTCTGTTAAAAAATAACAGGGTTATTTTACTCCCACCTTCGAAGTAATAGGGTTAAATGTTATTACTGGATGTTGTTGTTGCCTTTAACAAGCATTTTAAAGCGTTAAAAAATGCACTCAAGCATTAAGGAAAAATACTTGTGACAAGCTTGACAACAACACAAGGATTTCGAAAAAAAAAATAAATTGGAATCAAATCGTCTACATAAAGTTGAGACCATAGAAAAAGAGATTTACATTTATTTGTTTGCATTTTAAAAAAGGACAACATTAAGACGCACCAAACACACTCATTTAGTTTTTAAATTTATACCAAAATGTCAACCCTTTTCAAAATGTAAATCAAAAATGCAAAAAAAACCTAAGCCAGGGGAGGAAAATTGTTAAGGAGTGTATTTGAAAATAAGGAAGTTATATTACTTATTTAAGTGTTTGTTGTATAGATATTAGTGTGATTGTCAAAGGGATTTTTAGGATATTTTTAATAGAGTTTTAATTTTACTGTTAACAAACTTACTTAATTTTAGAGGTGTGTTTAATATTGGAAAATTATTATTTATAAATCGATTGTTATTTCACGTTTAAATAATTATAGCCTATACCAATCGGATCAGAATCACTTTCTGAGTCGATTAAGCTATGTCCGTCCATCCGACTGTCTTTGTGTCTGCCTGTCCGCTTGTCTGTCTATCATGGACACACAATGTAAACCTTGTGCGCACGCTACAGGTCGTAATTTTCGAGATAATTTGATGAAATTTGACACATAATCTTTTTTCGACCCAGGGACACTCTTAATTATGTTAAATGTTCTAGTATCACTTTAAGGTCAAAATTCACTTATAAACACTAGTATCACGATAGGTTAGGTTGATAGGAGGATTTATAGTACATCAAATCCGAAGAAATACACCTAGGCCACTATCGGGCCTGTTGTGCGCTCCTTTTAATGAACAAAATTTTTTGTTCACTGAGTATATTATTTTTCAATGTTCAGAAACTCAGTTTCCTGGACTTAATTCCTAAGAACTTTCCAATCAGTGTTAGTCAGGAATGTTATTTCCGAAATAACATCGCTTCCAAGATACTTGGATACTTCAACGAATGCTTAACAGTGCCAAAGAAAGTGGTCCAGAGTTTCACTGTCCTCCCCACATGATCTACATTCGTCTGAATCTGCATGGCCAATTTTGTATAGATGTGCTCGTAATCCTGTGTGTACACTCAGAATACGTACCATCATACTAACTTCAGACTTGCTAATTTTGAGAAGATTTTTCGCCTTGTTCTCATCAGGGTCACCGCATAGGATCTTTGCGGTTCTACCCACCGTTTCATTATTCCAAGAGGCCTTATGGGATTCCTCATCCATATTTTTAATTCAGCTTTTGTTGCGTCGAATGGTTTTGCGTTCGTCAGGTTAACTACCTTGAGCATATGATGTAAACCTTACCTCTGGGCGTGTATTCAGTTAAAGCTTTCTTACAATCCATTACGGTCTTAGATTTAATTCTATCACCTGATATCGCCCTAATTGCCTTCTGGCTGTCGGTGAATATATTAAGGCCCGTGGCGCCATATTGTAATCCAATATACTCATTCCGTTATTGCTCGGACTTCTGCCTGGAAGCTTATGTTATGATTAGGTAAACGGTTACCACGATTGATAGCCTCCTAAGGACCCAATCCTTGTACCAAAATGTACAAGGATAGGCCTTATTTACCCTTGACCCCACATAACTCCTCTTTTGGAAAATCTCTTTTTTGTCAATAAATTGTTAAAATATTTCGGAGTAAAGGTAAACAAACTTTAATGCTTTATTATTAAAAAATAATCCACATTTTTAACATTCGCACTGGTGTAAAGTATCATACGGTCGGTCATGCCCGACTGTACATTCTTACTTGTTATGTTTAATTGATTTGCAAGGTTCTTTGCAGAAAACTTGAGTTTTAACATAAATCAAGTTAAACAAAAAGAAAATTCTCCCAATTCCCTACAGTTATAGTACCTAATAATTGCTTAATATCTAGAAAATTAAATTATATAAAATAGATAACATACACATACGATTACATTACAATGTAATAGAAAACGTAATTGATTTTCAGGGGAATGAGTGAATAAAATCAAAACAAATAACTTCAGCATTTATAACCATTCTACTCATAATAATTTTAATTGAATATGTATAAATATAACTAGAATAAAAACATTTACAAACACCCACTAAAACATCAAGCCAGCATATGATCCAAACAACAGTACAATTTTTTTCCAATTAATTTTCTCAGCCAAACGAGAAAAATATTGATTGAATTCTATATCGAGTTTTTTTTTTGTATTATTTTATACCGGTGACATCAATGACATGTGTATCTAGTGGAATGATGTTTTTGGTCTTTTTTACTTTATGATGATACTACTGATGGAGACACGTAAAATGAAAGTGATTGATTTCAATTTTCAAAACAAAAATTGAAATTGTTTTCAAGGGGGGGAGGGGTTTTCTATTATGTTTTATAACTTTCACAAATGGTCATCATATGTTTGAGTTTGCCAAGCCATGGTCAGTTATAAATTGGTGACGCAACAAATACTCCCCCGCCATGATTGATGGCTATTTTGTTTTTCCAGGAATTAAATCTGTTTATTGCTGGCTGACTAAATGCTAATTTGTTTTATTTTATTTTTGTCATTTAATTTTATCCTCCTATTATCCTTTTGGCAAATAAACAACCAACTTAACTTTGATGTTTTTTTCTTGTATTCTTTCTTTCTTTAGCCCATGACCTTAATGACATGGATCAGGATGACATGTGTGATGATGGCATGAGTGATATTGATGATCATGCTAGCGAAACTGATTCGAAAAAGGGTGGCAGTCGCAATGGTGATGGTAAATCACAAAGTGGTAGTGGTGGCTCTAAACCAAGAAGAGCCCGCACTGCATTTACTTATGAACAGCTGGTGTCTTTGGAGAATAAATTTAAGACCACACGTTATTTAAGTGTATGTGAGAGACTGAACTTGGCTATTAGTTTGTCATTGACAGAGACTCAGGTAAGAATCATAAAAACCATAGAACTATTAATCCAAAAGAAAACTATGTTGCAACATGTTTGCGTAAATATAATTCTTATCAATTATCTAAAACACCACTTTTTTCCTTTTATTTCATTTTAGGTTAAAATTTGGTTTCAAAATCGTCGCACCAAATGGAAGAAACAAAATCCTGGTATGGATGTCAACAGTCCCACTATACCACCACCACCCTCAGGCGGTTCATTTGGACCGGGGGCATATGCCAGTAGCCTACTCTATTCGCATACTATGCCCTATCCACCCTATGGTCCTTATTTTCATCCCTTGGGTGCAGCACATCATCTAAGTCATTCGCATTCATAAAATTGTAAGATGCAACAGAAATTGTTGCAAATAATGGAAATGCGTAAATATCGTACGCAAACCAAAGAATAAATACAAAAAAAAATGTGATGAAACCAAAAACTTAATTAATAAAAATGTAATATAAAACTTAATGCTCAATTTTGAAAACAAGGGCCAGTGCAATCTCAAATTACTTTTCTATGTTTTGTGTAAAAAGAAAACCTTCTTATAAAATTAAGCTTGTACAGTTTATGTTCTATTAACATGGTCAATTATTCTTAAACCAACTTAACAACTGGCTTTTAATTTATATTTTTAATTTTGTATGTTTGTAAATATGCTTGCCATTTGTTATATAAATTATGGGAAATTAAATAAACAATAACTAATTTTAATTAATGCTTAAGATATTACTATAAATATATATAATTAATATTAAAATAATTTTAATTATATAAAAACATAAATTAATAAATTGTATATGTTAGCCATTTATACATATTTAAATACATATTTAGTTTGTAATTTAGTTTAAAAAGACATAATAAATTTAAATCAATGAAAATCAAAAATTATTATAATAATATTATGAAAAATATAACTTAATATCTAAGTAAAATTAATAAATATTAAAAAAAATATAATTAAAAAGTGTTTGTTTAATGAAAGAGATTTCAAATTGGGATCGAGTTAACTTAAAAGGGTTTTAAACTTTAAGGTGATATTTATAACTTCCTCCCTCTCCTATTATTATTAATATTGAGCCAAAAATGGGAGTTTGTCTAAAAACTTATTCAGAGTTTCTACCATGCTAGGAAACTTGGATAGGAATTGTGTTTCCTAAAATCTATCACCATTTAAATACTTTTTGTAATAAAACTGTTCAGTCTATGTGAATTAATCGTAGTTGTCATATACCCGGAGGCTTTAACCCTATCAAAATGTCTAAACGTAGTGAGAGCGTTGCAAAAATAAAAGAGGACTGCTCTAAGTTGACATGTACCCGGAGCCTAGGATGCGGTCTTCATAAAAAAGAGTGTAAGACATTGTACACTAGATCAAAATATGTATGTCAAAATATGTAGATCAAAATCAGTATGTTATGTCTCTTGAAAACCCAAGAAATCCATACTGATCTATACTTAACATCGGCGTTAAATATGGACCTATTATTTGCAGCTCAACATGCATACAGTTCAGTCCGATTTAAAATTATTTAAACATCGCTAGAACGTACGGAATATGAAAAAATGGTGTACATAGATATAAAAAGGTAGTTCACAAAGTGAAATCACGATCAATAGTCCAATTACTTTAACGCCATAAACAAGTTCTGTGAACTCAGACGAGGACTCTACTTATAATGCTGGAGTGGTTATCAGATTTCTCATGGCAAAACAAATGTCACTCAACTCAAAGGTTTGGAATCTCCGTTAACATTACTAATCTCTAAGTCTAAGAGCTGCATCTGATTTTGATATGGACATTTCCACCGAAATGTATATTTTTTGCCACATCACGTCACGCACATTAATTGACAATATCTTAGGACCATTCCTTTTGATTGGTCGTTACTTTATACTATGTATAGAGCTACAAGAGCTCTACATAAAAATATAAATATTTTCCCCAGATATTGGCAGTAAATGGTGAGTGACGTGATGTGACATAAGTAGACTTTTCGGTGGAAATGCCCATATGTCGAATGCCATTACAATAGCAACTCCGTTGGGTTCTATTAAAGGTAGTGTCCTAAGCTTCTTTCTTAAAAAGGCTGAAAATAGATGGAAAGAACTGCTTCTGCTTTTGATATATCCAACGCCGTTTCACTAGTAACTCCGTTAGATTCTATTAAAGGTAGTGTCTTAAGATTCTTTCTTAAAAAGGCTGAAAATATGTAGATGGAAAACTCCTAACACATATAGAGGAGTCAAATTAGTGTTGTCTTCTTTCAATGAGAATCGCACTATGTAGCTTTTAAGTGAATACCGGGCCTTAAGCAAACACGCAGGTCGGCGTAGGCTTCGTGTAACCTACGCTACTCTTGCGGTTTCAAAGACAGGGAAAAGGAGTAAACGGTTTTCCATACTCTCTGCAACCCACCTGGTCTAGCCGCCAAGGGAAACAGATTCCTTGCTCAATTGCTTCATTTCCAATCTGGGTGAGTTATCTGGGTCATAACTCAATGACGAAAATGGACTTTCGACTTTACTTGATTGTTTGCAAGTAGCGAACAACGACGTTGACCAACCAACTGTACTGTTAAATAAGTCAAATTCTAACATGTCTGTGCCACATCCAGACTGGTTTGCATATGTATAAATACTTATATAAAATTCATGAGATGACCAATATTTTTAACCTAAAGCTTCCCTGAGTACTGATTGCTCTGACATACCCGAAAATAATGTTACAATTTGACTAAAGATCGTTCTCGTCTATAGAAAGGGAAGACTGACAGTTAGTCGATGTTTCGTATTCATTCTGGAAATCAATACTATAGCGAATGTTCCTAGATTCTGCTAGACTAATTTGACCACATGAATAATAAGATTCAGTGGTGAGATGACGAATCTTTCAAACTTGTAGCTTCTCTGGGTGCAGATTACTCTGACATACCTGGTAATAATATAACGAATGAACTGGATAAAAATCTTTCCCGCCTTCAAGAAGAGTAAACATACTGATAGTCGTTGTATCGCAATCATGATGATGATCATGATTGTTACGAATATTCTTACATTCTGCTTCACTCAGGCTCTTAGAATTGAGACTAATTTGATTATCTGATTGCCGATGCTCAGTGGCCTTAATAAAACTTTTGCGTAAGCGTCCTCAATTGTTTTGCGATAATGAAAGAGCACTCTATAATATGTGAGCATGTTAGAATATTGAATTTTAATTTTAAAGAATTTTTAAGAAGCCGACTTTCTCTGTTTCTGTCCTACTTTATAGGAATTAAGTAAAATCTACCTTGGGTAGTCCACTAACGATCCTTTAAGATAATTTATTACAAACTGTTTTCATAAGATATATATGTATTTGTACCTCCGAAGCTTGATACACTTCGAGTAATACAGATCCAAAATAGATGGCTGTAATAGTTGTCTAACTCTACAGATAACACCGTCGAGAATCAACGCTTAATAATGGAAGAATGCTGTATAATATGTGAGAATATTAGAATACATATTGAATCTTAAATTTAAACCGACGAGGAAAAAGATGAGCACAAACACATAGTAGTGCTGTGGAAAGATACGAACTTTGATCCACTGCGAGTAACACATATCCAAAAGAGCTGGCTATTAAAGTCGTCTAACTCTACAACCTGACCCTCTTGTTTCTATACACTTAATATTTATTAGATTTTTTCAATTTATTTATTCCAATAGTCTAACCTATATAGGTCATAATCGGATATAAATTTCTACTTATGAAAATTGGAAATCGGAAAATTGATCCGGAAATAATTTTTTGTCGGCATTTAAAAACACATTAAACATACTTTAAAAATTAAATAAAAAAGCAAATATGTTAAAGTCACACATTAGTAAATAATTAAATTAAAATAAATTTGCTTAAATTATCTGCAAGCACATAGAAAATAGTAAAACATCTATGCTAGAGATGAAAAACATACAAATGTGAAGAATATTTTACACAAACAGGATTTAAGGAAACTAATTGCAAAGTACTTAAGCAAAGATTAAAAAATATATATTCTTCCCCCAAAAAAAAAGAGACAGAATCAAATAAATGTAAAAAACTGCACGATTTTAATAAATTATGAAAGAACAATAACAAAAAAATATATGTATGTATATAGCAGTAATAAGAATTAAATGTAAAAGAGATTTTACACGTACTCGAACCAAGAGAAAACCATACATATGTATACAAAAAGCAATAACGTATCCCTGTAGTTCGGTGTGTAAATTCCGAAATGATACGAAAATACAAGAATCCGATTTAAGCAAACATTTAGAAATTAAAAAAAGTAAAAACACTGACTCGTATTAAAACTGCTGGGTTATAACAGTACTATATAATAACAACTACAACCATGTATAAATAATTGAATAAGTGGAATGTGAATAAGCGTAAATTTATGTGTATGTATATGTATTATCACTTATATATACAAAAACACATTCCATATAGATGTATGTATATTATGTATGTAGTATTCATCGTATATAGACGCATAATGGATTCCTTATACATACATTCATGAGCATTTATTTTTATATGCAAATAAATTCCGCAACGAATAAATTCAATTTAACAACCATGAAGAGTGTAAATTTTTACATACATACATTTATATGTATTTGTAAACAGGTGGTAGAATTTGGAAGTAACTGGAACAGGTGACGTATCCAGAGACATAATGTCCATAGACCTTATGACACACTAAATTGAGTCATAATGTCCATGGACGTTATGACAATTTCAAAAGTGTCATAATGCCCAAAAGCAATGTGACAGAAAGTCCATGGATTTCAAAGGGTCCATTTATCAAAAAAGGCTTAAATAAGCGAAGCCGGCATTCGAAATACCCCAGAGTTTAAAACCCCTGCTTCCGGCCGAAGGCCAGCTATCCAGGACACTTTTTAAAAGGAATCCAAAATGCAACATATACCAAATTTAGGAGAAATTCTTTTCAGGATAAGTGTGCCCCTTTCCTAAACTCTAAACAAATTTTACTATACACTGTTTTGAAAGTATCACAATGTCCATGGACATTGCTCATTTTGAGGAGATTTTTCGTCTCGCTCTCATCAGGGTCACCCCATAGGATCTTCGTGGTTCTACCCACTGTTTCATTATTCCAAGAGACCTTATGGGATTCTCTCACCCATATTTTTAGTTCAGCTTTTGTTGCGTCGAATGGTTTTGCGTTTGTCAGGTTAACTGTCTCGAGCTCCCTTCCCTTTAATGCTATTACATTCGCCCTTTCGTTACCGACTACTCCCGAGTGGACTGGTACCCATATGATGTGAACCTTACCTCTGGAACAGTATTCAGTTAAAGCTTTCTTACAATCCAATACGGTCTTAGATTTAGTTCTATCGCCTGATATCGCCCTAATTGCCTTCTTGCTGTCGGTAAATATATTAAACGCTGTGGGCGCCATATTTATTCTAATCCAATTTACGCATTCCGTTATTGCTCGTACTTCTGCCTGGAAGCTTGTGTTATGATTTGGTAAACGGTGGTATATTTCTGTTTCTGGGTCTTCAATATAGAAACCCAGCCCCACTTTGTCCCCCAATTTGGAGCCATCCGTTTCAAAGTTTCCGACATATTCTGTGTCTGGTATACGATCAGGCCTATAGTTCTCCTACATATCGCCCAGCACCGATGTGCCTTGTTGATCCTATCCTCTATTTTGTGATAAGGAACTTGAAAGGATGATATTGGGCCAAAGTTTGTTAATTTCATAGATATAGTTAAGTTGAAAGGAGGATCCGTTAGGTTGAAAAACTCCGAGATCACCATTGGTGATGTTGGTGGAAAAACATTAATTACTGATCTATGAAAAGAATTATTGTTTAATGTTGAGAAACTCAGTTGCCTGGATGTAGTTTCCTATAATTTTCCAATCAGTGTTCCTGAGGGATGTAATATCTGGAATAACATTGTTCCCGAAAGTTTTGGATCTGTTTACGATGAAAACCTGACAATGACAGAAAGTAAGAATATTCGGTTATGACTTTCTTACAGTCCTGTACATATATCGCCCTAATTGCCTTCTCCCTGGTAAATATGATTAGCAATGTCGGAGCCAAATTTATTTCGATGACTATAATTCTCAAGTGTTTTGCTACCCATATAATGCAAAGATTACTTCTGAGTAACTTTAGCATCTGTTTTCACCATATTTGACTTCTGACTATCAATAAATAAGTTAACCTCTGATGGAGCTATATGACGAAATAATGGACTAGGTTTTGACCTTGGCTCAAAAGAAGAGCATGTGCCAAATTTCATCAAATTATCTTGAAAATTGCGACCTACGCGCAAGGTTTACAGACAGACAGACGGACGGACAGACGGACATAGCTAAATCGACTCGGAAAGTGATTCTAGGCCGATAGGTATACTTTAAGGTGGGTGTGGGACCAACATTTTTGGGTCCCTCCCCCTCCTCACTATAGTGTTATAAATATGTCTACTGATCAATATTATCACTCATTTTGAAGTGAAAGAAAACAGCAAACGTGTTTTACTAAATATGTATGTATTTTTTTTTCACGGATATCATTTTTCGAAATGATATCAGTGAATAAATGAATGAGTATATAATGCAGCAATGATGATGAGTTGATGAGTGTAAGACATTTTTGTAGACAATTGTCTTCTTTAATTTTCTGGCAATTATGGTTATTAAATATTTTTTTCATTCAAATAAATAAATCCAAAGTAATATCGCAGTACAAAAATTAAATTAATTCCATTCAAAAATCCTTTACATAAAATCTTTATAGGCTATAATCACAGGTTTCTCTATCACTTTAACGAAATTTATTTTCACTTTTGCCTTCTTGTCTCCTGCAATACTACAAAAATACATACATATGTATAAAGTATATGTACATATTTGTGGTCAAAATAAAATTTATGCTGACTGACAGTGGTGGTGTGTCAAATAAGCCGCTTAAAAAATTCCATTCATTTTCACATAATTGAAAGTCGTCACAAGTTTAAGTAGTATCCTTGCTATTATTTCTGCTTGGCTTTTTTTGTATCCTGTCTTTCTGTGTATGTATGCATGTGTGTGAGAATTTTATTTTTATTGCCTAAAGACGAGCAAATTTAAAATTTTCCACTTGACTTAATTTTTGTTGTCAAACAATTTACTCATTTAAATGTACAAACAATTTCATTTTCATTTTAAGTGAAATGTGTACGAAAAAAAATTATAAAGTAGAATTAAATATGTGATTGTCTCAGCTGTCTTTTGAAATTAAATTAATTATTCTGTGATTTATCTAGTTTTTATTTCAGTGTTACAATGCTGTTAAAATGTTAATATGATTTGATGTTGGAACCAGTGATGCAAGGAGATTTTTTTCAGAAATCCCTACGCTTATGAGAAAAAATCCCTTTTTTCCCTACACGCACTTTTTATTTTCCCTACATTTTTCCCTACACTACTTTTTTCCAAGTTTATCTTAAAAAAATACAAAAATAACATAAAAAACTAAAATATTAGCTCCGTTTTATAATATACATATATACATATATATGTATTTTTTTAATTTTAGGAATAAAATTTCTAGAATTTAAATTTTAAATTTTTTTTCTTTCAATTTTACATCATACAAATCTTCCAACCCTGACTCTTCAGTTAAGATTAAAAAACCAAGACAATTGAGATTTATGGCAGTATCACGATTCGATGTTAAAAATTTATTTTATGTGCCCCCAACAAAATAATTTTCATAAAATAATTATTTTAAATAAGGTTTACTTTTGCGTTTACTTTTTGCGGTTTACCTCAGACCTCAGTTCAAGAAACCCGAATTTTGGATTATGCCAGTCTTGTAGAGATATGTAGGTACATATATTGTAGAAATTACAAGCGGAATTTTTACTAACGATACACTTAAAACTGATTTCATTTTTAATTTTAAAGTTTAATACATGAAAGGGTATATTTTTAGTTGTTAAAAACTATGAAATTGAAAAATCCCTACAATTTGACAATAGTAAGAAATCTTTCCCTTTTTCCCTACACGTGAAAATTTTGAAAAAAATCCCTACAAAAAGGGAAAAATCCCTACACTTGGCATTACTGGTTGGAACTCACAGTTGAAAAACTGGATGCTATGTGTCTATTAAATCCACTTTTTACAGAATTATTTGAATTCAAGTGCTTATCCCAATATAAAAACAAGTAAGAAAGTATAGTCGGGCGTGGCCGACCATATGATACCATACACCAGTTATGAATATTAAATGTGATTTATTTTTCATAATAAAGCATTTATCTTCAATATTCCCTTGTTCCTATACATTTAAGCAATTTATGGATGAGAAACTAATTTTCTGAAAGAGGCTTTATATGGGGGCTAGGGGCAAATATGGACCAAGGCCGATAAAATTTTGTGAATATATTTATATTGACATAATATTTTATTGTGCTGAATTTCATCGCGATATTTGTGTTTATAAGCTAATTTGGGACATTCAAGTAATTTTCTGAAGGGGACTTTGTATGGGAGCTAGGGTCAAATGTGGCCCGATCTTTATGAAATTTGGCAGGGTCATCAAGGCTTCTATAAAACTTAGTTGTGCCGTATTTTATCGATATATCATAACATAATTATGAGCTCAGAAGCCCTTTTCGGGGGGTTCTGTTGTATGGGGGTTAGGCGTGCCAAATTTCATCCAATTATCTTGAAAATTGCGACCTGTACTTTGCGCACAAGGTTTACATGGACAGGCAGCCAGCCAGACGGACGGACAGACGGACATAGCTTAATCGACTCAGAAAACGATTCTAAGCCGATTGGTATACTTTAAGGTGGGTCTAGGACGAATATTTTTGTATGTTACAAACATCAGCACAAATCCAATATACCCTCCCCACTAAAGTGGTGTAGGGTATAACAACGTTATTTACACTGGAGCACTTTCTCTGCCATTGACAGTCTTTCGTGGAAATTAGATCCAAATATTTTGGGAATGATATTATTACGGATATAACATCCCTCACGAACACTGATTTAAAAATTCCTGCGAATTACGTCCAGGAAACTAAGTTTCTGAACTGCGGGTTCATATCAGGCTATTTTTCTTCAACAAACTTTTCATGAAAAGGAGCGCACAACAGGCCCGATAGTGGCCTAGGTGTATTTCTTTGGATTTAATATCAACCTAATATATAATAATATCCTATCAACCTAATTTACTAAAATTGGTAATGGAAAATGGAAAGCCTAATACAAAGAAGGCAAAATTTGATTATTCTATTTAATTCTTATTTTGCGTAACTTTTGGAACAACCTTTACAAGCAATAAATTTTCAACCTTGAGACATTTGTAAATATTTACTATATGAAAACTTCTGCTAATTTATATTTGTATATACCCTACATTAAAAATATGGAAGAAAGGTATATTGATTTTGTCACTCGGTTTGTAACACATCAAAATATTAGTCGCAAGCCCAACTTTAAAAATCTTTGTCATTCGATTTGTATGAAATTTGCACAAATGTTAATAGGATTGCCTTTCAGATAGCTATTTCTTCATTGTTTCCAACAAAATTAATGAAGAAATAGCTATCTGAACTTCTATAGACAATTTTTGCTAATACAAATAGGTTAAAAGTTACACCCAATTGAAAAAAACACTGTATGACCAAAATGTCCAATTTTGACCCCCTCTAAGTCCGGCAGTTCTTGACCGATAAAGCTGGTCTACTATCCAATAGTACTAACCTTGGTGTAAATTTCATCCAAACCGATTTTTTGAGTTGGGTCACTTGACACGATGCATATGGGCATTTCCACCCAAAAGTATATTTTGTTGCCACATCACGTCACGCACATTAATTGACAATATCTTAGGACCATTCCTTTTGATTGGTCCTTTCCTATGTATAGAGCTATTAGAGCTCTTTATAAAATTATAAATAATTTAAATATATATAAATATTTTCCCTGGACAAAAGTAGACTTTTCGGTGGAAATGCCCATATATGTATATATAATTTCTTTTTATATACTGAGACCTCTATCTGAACATCTGTCTATTGAAAAAATGATAGGGTCTCAGAGTCATCATCCTCTAAGCAATTTCTGCAGTAGTTCTAACTTGAACAAGATACATATAAGATATAAAATCTGTCCAACTATGTGATAATGGTTACACAAGACAGCTATCACTTTTGTCACCAATTCGATAATAATATTCGACGCCGCAATAATTGAGCATTTGATTTCTGTATATTTTATCATGCTCTAGATCCAATATTAAATCGGCAAGTAGTAATCAGAGCTAAAAGAGAGAGTAAATGTGTTTGAGAAAATCATTCGACTTTATTGTCTTCGACTTGGGTCCGCTAATCCATCTTAAGTCTCAGTTTTATATTAAGGATTAAAAAATATTAAGATTTATATTTCTATCTAGCGATTAGGCATTGTCTTAAACTAGCCGAGTATACTCGGGGGCTTGCAAATTGAATATCTTACGAAGTATGCATGTATTAGGGTACCACAGCTGATCTCTAAACTTATTTAATAACAATCAACTTAATGATCAGCTCTTAGCAAACCCATATAAAAGCCGTTGCAATGTTATTAAAGTTTTAGTTTATTTCAGTTTAATTAGTTATTGAATTGCAAGAAAAATGTTTTCATTAAAACATCTTATTTACTTAGCTGTTTTGATAGTAAGCTTAGAAATGATCAATTCATCTCCAGTCGTGAACTCTGCATGTCCACAAATTTGTACATATGAATATAATCCACAATGTGTTACGCTATACGATGGATCTACATTGGAATTTAGCAATAAATGTTTACTTAATGTGGAAGCTTGTAAGAGGTATATGGGTAAGTTTTATTGTTATTATTATTTTTTTAAATTTAGGTGGTGTAAATTCTTTTTTATATTTTTAGGTGTAAAAAGTATTAAAGCTGGACATTGTCCCCAATCAATGTAATAATGATGATGTCAAAATAAAAGGAGTAGTTTAATTTTTTCAAAATTTTAAACGATTTTTTTTGATATTATATCAAATAAAGGTGATATATATAAACAGTTAAATATAAGTTACATGGGTTGTTCGAATACCCCAGGAGGCTTAGTTTAGTAACTGATATCTCGATATTCTGATTTCACCACGATCAAAAGAGATGTCATTCTGTTTAGATTCTAAGACGATAATACAATAGATGGACGGACATGTCCTATTATGTTGAAAAAATAATAGGGCCCACACCTAAAGAGTTGTTATTTCCCATAAAGAGGTTTATTCGATTACACAGATTATTAACCCAGTGACCAAAATACTTTTCTAAAGGATTGAGCAGTGCTGAGCCGAATTAATCCATCACGTCGTTTACAGCCATATTTGAGATGCTATAACAGAGTGAAGACAGCTTTGTGTATACAACTTGTTTTGTCATCTAACAGTCCAACCTGTCGATTTAAATAACATAGAATGCAAGACATTATAATGACACTTAGAACGCGTTAGTTTGGAGGCGTCGTTTTAGGTGAAACGTTATTTATACGGAGATAATACTTAACATCCTACACAAATGACTAAGTCAAAACCTTTTGACATTTTATATGACTTTTTATTATATTTGTACGCTATAACTATATTTCGACACACTTGAGGTACGTTCACACCTACTATTTTTATACCCACCATCAAAAAAGATGGGGGTATATTGTTTTTGTCATTCCGTTTGTAATACATCGAAATATTGGTCATAGACCCACAAAAGTATATATATATTCAGGGTCCTTATTATATTCTAAGACGATCTAGCCATGTCTGTCCGTCTGTTTAAAGGACGATAGAGTCCAAACAAAGAAAGCTAGGGACCTGAAATTTTGCACATTTTTCTATTGCTGTACTTTGTTTGGTATTGAAAATGGGCAATATCGGTTGAAGTTTTCACCTATCCCCCATACAAGTGTACCCCCAGAATACAGTTTAAGCAGGCATAACTGCTATAAAGGGACGAATAAAGAGAGTAAAGTCGACATAAAATAGTTTCGTATGACCCAAAATCTTTCTCCTAAATTTTATGAGGATAGGTCAATAATTGACCCTACCCCCATATGAGGTCCCCTTCAGAAAATGTCTTTAACGCTCATTACTGACATAAAAATACGAATATAGGGATGAAATTCGACATATGTAAATAAGTTTCATATGACCCAAAATCTCTACCAAATTTTATAAGGATCGACTCATAATTGACCCTATCCCCATGTAAGGTTCCGTTCAGAAAACTACTATAACGCTCATTACTGGCTTAAAAATGCTACTACAGCGGTGAAATTCGACATAAACTATATATAATATTTTATGAGGATCGGTCCATAATTGACCCTACCCCCATATAAGGCCCCCTTCAGAAAATTACTTTAAGGCTCATTACTGGCTTAAAAATACGAATATACCGATGAAATTCGACACAAATAAATTCCGTATGAGCCAAAACCTTTCTACGAAATATATAAAATTACCCCTTGCCCCCATATAAGGTCCTCTTTACTTAAACGTTCAGTACTAAAAATACGAGTACAGCGATAAATTTCGACATAAGCAAGATGTATATAAAACAGAATCGGTCTATTAACTTGTATGAGGATCGGTTCATAATTGACCTTTCCCCCAAGGAAGGCCCCCTTCAGAAAATGACTATAACGCTCATTACTGACTTAAAAATACAAGTACACTTATGAAATACGACATAACATATAAAAATAGGAACGTAAATCTTTCTATCAAATTTCATGTGGAATGGGTCGCTAACTTACCTTAACCTCCATATAAGTCCCTCTTCCAAAAATGATTTTAATGAAAATTACTGACCTAAAAATGCGAGTACAGCGATTATATTCGATATTAACAAGTTCTGTATGAACCAAAATCGGTCCACAAATATAATGCGGATCGGGCAATAATTATCTACCCCTTAGAAAATTACTTTAACTGTAATTATCGGCTTAAACATATTTGCACCTGCCCCTCATATATAACGCCACCTTCAGAGTTACGAGTACAGATATGAAAATCGACAATAAAAAGGTGCCATAATTGACTTAAAACCTATTCCTTTTAAGGCATACGGTTTGATGGTGGGTATATTAGATTCGGCATAGCCGAATATAACATTCTTACTTGTTTTAAGTTATAACTTCAAAGATCGAAGTGTTGATTCTATAGGATTCAAGTCATTTTGTCAAATATTTGATAGGTGTGAATGAACCTTTAGTTGAAAGACCAGTAATAATCATATACGATACCGCTCAGCAAAGACACTTGTAATATGCTTCAAATGAGCGATTATCCCGCTTTTTTTGAACACGAATTAGATTTTAATTCTATAATCTTTGCTGGAAAACCAATAACGACCATTCTGCTTTGAAGATCACTTTTTAAACATTGCTTTTTAGTCTACATTAAAGTAATTATACGTTTTTCTATTATCAGCAAATCATTATGTAGGGTAACAAATGTCAGCTGTAGCGTAAATTTTAAATTAACTGCAAGTAATTTAATTATTTCACTCCACAAAAAAATCTATATAAATAACACTGTAAAGTCACTATTACATTTGTATACTTTAAAATGTTGAAAATAAAATATTCAATTTATTTAGCTGTTTTATTATTAAACATTAAAATGATCACTTCATTGCCGTTCGATGGACCATGTCGCTACGATTGTCTCGATGACGAAAAGCGATGTGCAACACTACACGATGGATCAAAACAAGAATTTCCTGAGTGTTGGGTTGTTGACCCAGCTTGCAGATGGTTTAAAGGTAACTTTTTTAAAATTGATTTCAAATAAAAAAAAATTTCATATTTTTTTATTATTAGATATTATATCTTATACGGATGGACCTTGTTATCAATTATTCCGTCCTCGGCCATGGGGTCATCAATCCTTCCTTCCTCAACAATGGGGTCCATCATTCCGTCCTCGACCAAGGGGTTATCCATCATTTTTTGCACCATTGCCATTTTTTTAAGGAATATATAATAATTTAATTTATTATATCAAAATTAATTTCGTTTAGATAAAAGGCAACAAATTTAATTGATCTCAGATTTTCATTTCTGATTTTTATATTATAAAACCCTATTCTTAATAGAAAATTTAATTTTTCAAAGATTTTTACTGATTAAGCGATTGGATTTTAAAAAACCAAAAAAAGTTCACAACGGCCTAAAAAATTGGTCCTATATAAAGAAATAGACTCAGAATCCGAGTGATAGCTACATATCACTTAACCTTTCATAAATACGCATCTCAATATAAATCACTTTCATATATAGAAAACCCCTAATTTCATGATTCAGTTGGTTTTTTTCTGCAAGATATTTGAGGCATTTTTTATACCCATCATAAAAAAGTATATACATAGTATGTATGTATATTTTGTGTCCTTATTAAAATTCTAAAATAATATAGCTATGTCCGTCTGTCTGTTGAAAGCATGATTGGATCAATAGTGATCTCATAAATGTCATAAATATCTATGCTGTATAATCAAATTAGCACAGAATAGTTTAATGCACGCAGAGTTTTATCACTATCACTTTAGCAAATTGTATTAGAATCGGGCCATGTTTAACCCTAGCGCCCATATTAAGTCCCCTTCAAGAGAATTCGACATAAACAAGTTGTATATGAACGAAATATAATGATACATCACATCCAATTTTGGGCTTTCGAGCATTATCAGTATAAACTATAGACATCTCTTGGCCTCAAAGAAAATAATCCAGAGCTATCAAATCGCTCAACCTTGTGGGCAAATATTTACAGCTCCTATAGTCTGCAAAATACCTACATATTTTGAAAAAAGTATTTTCCATAAAGTGATCGCAGTATGACAAGAATGTCTAAGTGCTTAACAAGAACACCCGTCTTGGCGGCATTTTTTCACGGTGTTTTTTTCATGCACTGGGTAGACTTGAGAACGGTCTACCATGCGCCCTGAATTCTTCTATAAAGAAATCAGGTAGCTGTGCCGGTCCATTGAAGTACAATTGAAGTACTCGAACTATCTAATCTGTTGGCAGACAGCATGAGATCAATCCCAATGCATAATCCGACAAGGAAAAAGCAATCACTGGTCTAAAGTCAATAGAAGGGGTGACCCGAACATCAGGTGAAATCAATCTTCCGGTATCTTACGCCGGTTTAGATGTCATGAAAATTACATTATATTAAATGCAATTAAATTAATGGCCTATTCCAGTGCATTCCTTAACCTCTTAAAGACCGCGCAACCAAATTACTGCGATAGCCCTGTTGATTCGACAACAGCACCTAGAGACGTATTTGGTAGTCCGAACTAGCCAATAAATCATAATCCCTCTGTATGTCAGATAATGTGACAAAGGATAAAGTCAATTCGAACCCAATAATTGCCCCGACAAATTGAGTGGTGGGCCTCAACCATAAGTCGCATAGCATGAAACAATATGCATCCTGATGAGATGGCAACGGCATCGAGAACTTACCTGAAGTAAAAGGTCTACTAAATCAGTACAAGACTCCTGTCGGGCAGAGTAGTCTTTCCCGATCGTTCACCATCTAACATCAGTTCCATTCTCAGACCATAAAGAATGACAGGCCTATACCTATACTGGCGCCCTACTACGTGAAGAATATGAGATACATAATCACCTTAATTCCGATGTATTTAGGCATATTAAACGTTTTCATAAAAAGTTGTGGTATAATTCATAAAAGTATGCTTTCTTTTACCAGTAAGCCCTGGTATGGGTTCCAAAAATTCATCTGTACCACGAATATTATAATTAACTATAATTAATTTAATTGTTACGGTCGAAAATAGCCTATAAATAGCACTACAATGTCACAATTACAATGGCATACTTGAAAATTTTGAAATGTTTAAACAAAAAGATTTTATTTATTTAGTGCTTTTATTAATAAATATTGAAATGATCACGTCATTTCCATCTTATGGCCCATGTCCCTCCGTTTGTCCTAGAGTGTTTGCGGCACAATGTGCTACACTAAATGATGGATCAACTTTACAATTAACTAGTGAGTGTTGGTTGAAAGACGAAACTTGTAAGCTATTTCTAGGTGAGTTTCTTTTTTAATTTTTCAAATAAATAATTTTACAAACATATTCCTTGTTTTTGATAAGGTGTTAAAGATTATAAACCAGGATATTGTCAAATACCAGAGGCTGATCCATTACTAGGATTGTTTGGCTTTAGATAGTATGATATGTCATGAATTCAATTTGTGTTTATATATAATGTGAATGGGTGTTGAAATAAAAGTTCTTGAAATAAAAAATAAAATTTTTTCTTGACTAAAACTTTAAAAAATATACATATATATTTTTTGGAAGTTTAGTTTCGCAAAAGTGTGCAAAATTAAAATTAGTCGCAGATTTTAGATATTTTGTCGCTTCAATGTCTGTTTAATAATCTACTACAACCGATTGTTTGAGGCTATACGAAATAATGGACGGATTTTAACCATTTTCAATAATCTTCGGCCTTGGGTCAAGAGAAGAGTATGTGCCAAGTCCTGCATCCACCGTAAAGCATTCTGTATCTTTAGGAATCGAGTTTTGTTATTAGTCATAAGCGTGAAGGTTTGCTTTAAAACATTCGCTCACCGTATCTTATGATGAATGTGTTTAATCGGTTTCAATGTGGGATTCAGAAGAGCTATTTTTTACTAGGAAGACAAAGGTCGCCCAGGCCAGTCAAAAAAAAGTTTGAAAAACAAGAATATGAGTCATTAATCTTTTTTTTTGTCAAACTCAACAAGAGGTTCCAAAACTATTGGGAACTTATGAAATACATATATGCATGCAGCAGATTCGTTCAAAAGCAGGAACATTGAGCACCATACAAATGAAGCCGATAGACCTTAAAATTTTTGCGATTCTGAAAAGCTCCTAGAATGCTATAAAAGAAAGTAATTTTTGCATCGAATCATCACTTGCGTTGAAAAATGGATCCACTGCGGTAACCATAGGCCTAAGAGATCGTATGTGAAGCCTAGCTAGACTATCACAGAAAACTTCTATCGAATGCAACTGATTCGTTTGAAGCGAACAATGGTCTAACAACACCCAGACACGAGCGCATAATATTATATCATAACAACGCTCTGTCACATGTTGCAGTACCCGTTAAAACTATTTAAAAAGAAATAATTAGGAAGGTTTGCCTTGCCCGCCTTACAGTGTAAACCTTGACCCGTCCGACTACTATTTGTGGTGATCGATGTAGAAAGTTCTGTCTTGGAGATGCTTCGCTTTATAACAGAGTATCCAAAACTGGATTAATGGCCTCCAACGATGGACAATTCGTAATCCAATTGACGCCAAACAGATGGAAAAACTTAGCAAACAATGGTTATAAGAGTTACTTTTTCAGGAAAAAAGGGCCATCATGTAGGGTATGAAAATCTGTAGCGTGAATTTGTTAATTAAATACATTTAATTTAATTGTTTCACCTAAAAAAAATTCCAATTACTAACTTTATAAAGTCTTAATTACAATTAAATTTGAAGCAGTTGCTTTACATTATTTGGAAAACTTGTGGCTCTCAAAAATGTTCAGTTTAAAATATTTAATTTATTTAGTTGTTTTGTTAAAAAGTCTTGCAATTAATACTTCGTTTGCAACAACTATACCATGTCCATCTGATTGTACTAAAGAGTATGATCCTCAATGTGTTTTACTACACGATGGATCCAAAAGGCTATATGTTAATGATTGTTGGTTGAATGACGAAGAATGTATGGACTTTCTTGGTAAGTTTATGTTTTATTTTTACAAATAAACAAATTTGTTTCATATTGTTTATAATTTCTTTTAGGTGTTGTATCTTTTAGTCCTGGAACTTGTTAGTAATTGTTATATTACTCCTGTTCAATATAATGTAACATAAACAAATTACATCAAGACAAAAATCATAACTTTATTATTATTCTATAAAGTTCAGTTATAGTCCATAGACCCTTTCGAGAATAAAACTATTGATATAGTATATTTATTTGCTTGTTTTTGTTTTCTTCTACGATTTCTAACGTAAATTTATAAATTTATTTGAAATTAATTGAATTGTTTCACCATAATAACTTCTATAAATAGCAATATGTATAAATACGAATATAAAAAGTTGTTTTTTTTTTAAGATCAAGACATGGCATAAACACTTGCCATTAAATTTTGTTCTACTTTTTCGAGCATATGTCGCGAATAACAGGAATAATGCGAACCTGTCAAAGGAAATAATCGAGAGGTGGAGTCCGATTTACAAGTCCATATCTCGAAATCAAGTTATCACGATATTTTGATTTTAATAAATCGACAGTTGCAACAACTCTAATCAAATAAATTAAACAGTTTGGTTGAAAATTTATTTAAAAGTCAATTAAGTTGATGATTGAAACAATCAAATTATTAATTGAAACAATAGTTTAAAATTTATTTAAAATTCAATTAAGTTAATGATTGAAATAATCAAATTATTAATTGAAATAATACGTTTAACGTAGAATCAATTAAACATTTAATAAAATTTATAAATGTAGGTTTTAAACAACGTGATAATTAAACCAAATTAAAAACTGTTTAAGTATTCTCACTATCAGAAAAGATAGAGGCACATACATTGATTTTGTCATTCTGTTTGTAACACAGCAAAATATTTATCGTAGACCCACAAAAGTATACGTATTGGTGGTTTTTAATAAATTCTAAGACGATCTAGCCATATCCGTCTATCTGTCTGTTGAAAGAACTATAGAGATCAAACGGAAGGAGCTAGAGAGCTGAAATGTTGCACAAATATCCTATATTTATGCTGTGTGTTTAGTATTGGAAATAAGAAATATGGGTCGAAGCTTTGACTTAACTCGCATACAAGTGTTCCCCGGAATACAGTTTAAACCGTCACAAGTGTATTAAAAAAGTCACTATAACTATAAAACTCCAGGTCACTAAGTTCATAGGAACTAAAATATCTCTACCAAATTTTATGAGAATCGGTCCATAATTGATCCTACCCCCCATATAAGGTCCTCC